TATATTTATTATATATTGATATTTTTCCTGGTGATTCCCTGTTTTTTTTCCCAGGGCTCCAAAGGGGACACGGGAGAAGAAGGTCAGAAGGTAAAGAACGGAGTTGGATGTCTCTTCTCCCACCGGGAATTTCCCTCCTGCTCTCCTTTTCCCGTATCCCTTTTCCCCCTCATCCCGTGGAAAGGTGTCCAGGTGACCTCCGGAGGTGAGGAATCAGTGAGGGTGCTGTGGAATCCAGTGGGATCAGCTCCCTGGAATGTCCTGGGAGCACCATGTGGTTGTGGGATCCCTTGGGATCAGCTTGGAAGGACTTGGATGTCCAGGGAGCACCATCTGGTTCTGGGATTCCTTGGGATCATCAGGGAAGGCCCTGGGTGTGCCGGGAGCCCCATCTGGTTGCGGGATCCCTTGGGATCAGCTCCAAATGACCTGGGTGTCCAGGGAGCACCATGTGGTTGTGGGATCCTTTGGGATCAGCTCAGAAGGTCCTGGGTGTCCCAGGAGCACCATCTGGCTGTGGGATCCCTTGGGATCAGCTCAGAAGGTCCTGGGTGTCCAGGGAGCAGCATCTGGCTGTGGGATTCCTTGGGATCAGCTCTGAAGGATTTGGATGTTCAGGGAGCACCATGTGGTTGTGGGATCCCTTGGGATCATCTGGGAAAGACCCGGGTGTCCCAGGAGCACTATCTGCTTGTGGGATCCCTTGGAATCAACTCAGAAGGATCTGGGTGTCCAGGGAGCACTATCTGGTTGTGGGATCCCTTGGGATCATCTGGGAAGGACCTGGATGTCCTGGGAGCACCATCTGCTTCTGGGATCCCTTGGGATCACCTCTAAATGACCTGGGTGTCCAGGGAGCACCATCTGGTTGTGGGATCCCTTGGGATCATCTGGGAAGGCCCTGGCTGTCCAGGGAGCAGCATCTGGTTGTGGGATCCCTTGGGATCATCTCTGATGGAGCTGGGTGTCCAGGGAGCACCATCTGGTTGTGGGATATTTTGGGATCAGCTCAGAAGGTCCTGGGTGTCCCAGGAGCAGCATCTGGTTGTGAGATCCTTTGGGATCATCTCTGAAAGATCTGGGTGTCCTGGGAGCACCATGTGGTTGTGGGATCCCTTGGGATCATCTGGGAAGGCCCTGGGTGTCCTGGGAGCACCATGTGGTTGTGGGATCCCTTGGGATGAGCTCCGAAGGCCCTGGTTGTCCCGGGAGCAGCATCTGGCTGTGGGATTCCTTGGAATCAGCTCTGAAGGACTTGGATGTCCAGGGAGCACCATCTGGTTGTGGGATCCCTTGGGATCATCTGGGAAGGACCTGGGTGTCCAGGGAGCACCATCTGGTTGTGAGATCCCTTGGGATCAACTCCAAATGACCTGGGTGTCTGCCGGGAGCAGCATCTGGTTGTGGGATCCCTTGGGATCATCTGGGAAGGCCCTGGGTGTCCAGGGAGCACCATCTGGTTGTGGGATCCTTTGGGATCAGCTCAGAAGGTCCTGGGTGTCCAGGGAGCACCATCTGGTTGTGGGATCCCTTGGGATCATCTGGGAAGGACCTGGGTGTCCGGGAAGCACCATCTGGCCGTAGGATCCCTTGGGATCAGCTCTGAAGGTCCTGGTTGTCCAGAGAACACCATCTGGCTGTGGGATCCCTTGGGATCAGCTCCAAAGGTCCTGGGTGTCCAGGGAGCAACATCTGATTGTGGGATCCCTTGGGATCATCTGGGAAGGACCTGGGTGTCCAGGGAACACCATCTGGTTGTGGGATCCCTTGGGATCAAGCTCCAAATTACCTGGGTGTCCAGGGAGCCCCATCTGGTTGTGGGATCCCTTGGGATCAGCTCCAAAGGCCCTGGGTGTCCAGGGAGCACCATCTGGTTATGGGATCTCTTGGGATAGCTCCGAAGGTCCTGGGTGTCCAGAGAACATCTTCTGGTTGTGGGATATTTTGGGATCAGCTCAGAAGGTCCTGGGCGTCCTGGGAGCACCATGTGGCTCTGGGATCCCTTGGGATCAGCTTGGAAGGCCCTGGGTGTCCAGGGAGCACCATCTGGCTGTGGGATCCCTTGGGATCAGCTCTGAAGGATCTGGTTGTCCAGGGAACACCATTTGGTTGTGATGGACCCACAGGACTAATCCTGGGCTCATCCTGATTTTTTCCTCACCTTCTCTCCACAGGGAGAACCAGGAATTGGGTTCAGAGGTCCCGTTGGTCAGGCTGGGCCACCTGGATTTAAGGTGGGACATTCTTCTCTTCCAGTTAGGATCTCACTTGGGGAGGGTTTTTTTGGGGATTTGTCTCTCTTTATCCTTTGTTTTCCACCCCTGGGTGTTGGAAAACAAAGGCTTTGGAGCTGCAGCTGCAGGGATAAAGCACCAAAGGCAGGAAGGGAAGCCTGGGAAGGCAGGAAAGGCGGGAACACCATTCCATGGGATTGGGACAGAGGGAATGTCCTGTGTCCTGCAAAGGGCCTTTTCAAAGCCTTAAAGGTCCAGAGGATAAATATCATGGAATCACAGAATGGTTTGGGCTGGAAGGGACATTTCAGGGTCATCGGTGAGCAGGGACAACCTCAGCTGGATCAGACTGGGGAAAAATATCCAGGGAATTGTGGGCTCAGCTCGGTTTCAGGGATTCCTTGGGATGTTCTGGGTCAGGAGAGTTTGGATTCCCCTCTGAAGGTCTGCAGGGTTTGGATTCTCCTGAAGGTCTGTAGGGTTTGGATTCTCCTGAAGGTCTGCAGGGTTTGGGTTCTCCTGAAATTCAGGAGGGTTTGGATTCTCCTGAAGGTCTGCAGGGTTTGGATTCTCCTGAAGTTCAGGAGGGTTTGGATTCTCCTGAAATTCAGGAGGGTTTGGATTCTCCTGAAGGTCTGCAGGGTTTGGATTCACCTCAACTATATCAGGCTGTGAAATAGGGCTGTGGAAAAATATCCAGGGAATTGTGGGCTCATCTCAGTTTCGGTGATCCCTTGGGATGTTGAAGGGTTTGGAATCCCCTCTGAAGGTCTGCAGGGTTTGGATTCTCCTGAAGTTCAGGAGGGTTTGGATTCACCTCAGCTGGATCAGGCTGTGAAATAGGGCTGGGAAAAAAAATCCAGGGAATTGTGGTCTCATCTCAATTTCAGTGATCCCTTGGGATGTTCCAGGTCTGCAGGGTTTGAATTCTCCTGAAGGTCTGCAGGATTTGGGTTCTCCTGAAGGTCTGCAGGGTTTGGGTTCTCCTGAAGGTCTGCAGGATTTGGGTTCTCCTGAAGGTCTGCAGGATTTGGGTTCTCCTGAAGTTCAGGAGGGTCTGGATTCTCCTGAAGGTCTGCAGGGTTTGGGTCCTCCCTTATGGGCCAGGACTGGAAGGGGTGTCCCAAACTGGAGTCGTGTGAACTCAAGGAGACACCCCGGGCTTCCTCCTGGACTTTTAGAGGGACACTTAAAATCCCACCTAATCCCCAAAATTCCTTGTGATTCGCTCCACAGGGCGAGCCGGGAGCCCCGGGACCTCCAGGAGCTCAGGGCATCCAGGGCATCCGCGGCAACGCCGGAATTCCCGGATCCCAGGGGGACAGAGGGGCTCCAGGTCTGCCTGGGATGCCGGGACAGAAGGTGAGGGGACACCACGGGTTGTGTTTGTCACCTCGGGGTGGGAATCCAGGTCTCCAGATCCCGATTCCACACGGGGTGAGGAAAAACAGGAAGAAATCCTTGCAAAAGGAGAGGGAAGAGCGTTGATGGGATCAGAGAAAGGAAATGAAGACCAAAATAAAGGCCCCAAAATGTGGGGCAGAGGGATGTCCCTCGAGGTGAAAGAACCCCAAAGCAGTGGAGCTCCAACCAAATCCTTGGTTTTCACCTTTTAAATTTAATCCTGTTAATCAGAATCTCTGGGATCCAGATCCATGGAGAATTGTGGATCTTTGAGATTCTTGGATCCAGCTCCATGGAGAATTCCTCAATTCTCTTTGAGGCTCTTGGATCCAGATCCATGGAGAATTCTGGATCTTTGAGGCTCCTGGATCCAGATCCATGGAGAATTGGGGATCTTTGAGACTCCTGGATCCAGGTCCATGGAGAATTCTGCATCTTTGAGGCTCTTGGATCAAGATCCATGGAGAGTTCTGGATCTTTGAGGCTCTTGGATCCAGATCCATGGAAAATTCTGGATCTTTGAGGCTCTGGGATCCAGATCCATGGAAAATTCTGGATCTTTGAGATTCCTGGATCCAGATCCTTGGAGAATTCTGGATCTTTGAGGCTCCTGGATCCAGATCCATGAAGAATTCTGGATCTTTGGGACTCTTGGATGCAGATCTATGGAGTTCTGGATCTTTGAGGTTCTTGGATCCAGATCCATGGAGAATTGAGGAACTCTGAGACTCTTAGATCCAGATCCATCAAGAATTGAGGATCTTTGAGGCTCTTGGATCCAGATCCATGGCAAATTCTGGATCTTTGAGGAGGTGACTGGGAAGAACAGGGGTGTTGAGCACCGGGGGGTTGGGATCAGGCACCCTCAGGAACAGAGGGATCAATGGATAAGTCTCTTTTTAGGGATGGGGGGCATCAACATTCCTCAGCTGAAGGTCCCGGCGTAGCTGGAATTCCCTCTCCTTGAGGCTCTTCCTCCTCCTTGGGGAACACCCAGAGCACCAGCCTTTTATCCAAATGAGGGAAAGCAGGACCTTTCCCATCAGCGTGTTCTCCTCTCCAAGGATTTTGTTTTCCAGGGGGAACGCGGGAGGAGAGGCCGGAATGGAATCCCTGGGCCCGCGGGAGCGTTGGGATCGCCAGGAAAAGAGGTGAGTTTGGGACATTGTGCCAGTGCCTGGGGGAGAGGTTGAGGTCCTGTGGACATCCAGCATCCTGCTTTGGGTGTCCTTTTGGGTGTCCTTTCACCCCTTTGGAGCGCTGGGATAGGAAGGAATTGAGGGAGGTCACTGGTGGTGTCCCCAGGGATCAGTGCCGGGCCCAGTCCTGTTC